GGCCCGAAAGGGGTATTTTAGATTGGAGCATTCTGGAAAGCCACGAAGGTCGCAGTGACGCAGTGAACCAAACTGGGAGACTGGGAACTACGAGAAGATAAGAACGAATTGAGTTTCCTCATATAAAAGAAGAAACCACTGTACTTAAAACTGCTGTAAAATGCTCTCCATGCCTCTAGTGCCACCTTGCTAACGAAGCCAAACGTGTCTCGTTGAAAATCTTCTCTAGCACGCTCCTTTGAAAATCTGGTCATTCTCATCTCCTGAAACTCCCCATTCCCATCTTTGCCAATTTCCTAGGCCCAGCACCATTTTTCATGAAGCTCTAATTTAAGAGAATTAGAAAGAATTTAAGAAAAAAAACCCCTTTACACAGGTTGGTTTCTTTTCAAACCAGGCTAACTTCTTTAGAGCAAATATTCTAATGTGGGCATACAGAGTAAAATTGGGCTTTTTTCTGGGGGTGGGGTGGTGGGGAGCGGTGATTTTTGTTTTGTTGTAAAAGATATTTAGGATGTTAATAGGAAGAAATACATGATCCTAGCATGTAAACAAGATAACCAGGTTGCAAAAGCAGGACTTAAGAAAATGCTCATGGGTAACTGTCCTATCGCCAGCGAAACTGCTGCAGGTGGTAGTGAGTGATGGGAAAGCACCTGTTACACTGACCTTCAGAGTCCCCAGGGGCAGAGAATGTGTCCACCAACACAACAAACAATGCTGAATACTGTAGATGTAAATTATGTGTATATGTAATTTCAACATATGAAAATAAAATTATTGCCATTTCTGAATTATTCCCTACCAAAACTGAAATATGTCTTTAAATATAAAAGAAAATAATAAAAACAAAAATCCTTCAAGTCCTTCTGAGTTCCATGATCCCCAGCTTAATCTTTTCTTAATCAGTTTTGGCTCTTTGCTGGTAGATTTTTGGATGGGAAGCTTCTGGATCTACACAGGCTATCCTTTCGAGGGAGATCCACAAACCATCCTTTGAATTTCTCTGGGCATAAACCCACAGGGAAACTGAAAAGGATTAGGAAGCAATGTTTAAAAATATCAAATAAAGGAAAGCAATTCATCAGCACATGTTTGCTGAGCACCTCCCACATTCACGACTATAGTCGGTACTGGTGGTAGCTGTGCAGTAGAGAAAATGGCAGTTGTCGTTAGGGCTTAGTACATGTTTTATAAATAAATGAATAAATGCTAATGTGCTACAGGGCAAAAAGTGAGGAAAATGTCAAAATAAGTCCTTTAGATATAAATAGGAAACACTGAAGTTGCTACAGATAAATTTGGCTTCATTTGGAAAACAGAAAAATTTTTTTATGGTAAGTGGTTAGGTAACGTAAAAAATTAATATGCAGAGTTCACAGGTATTTTGAAGAAAGTGACAAAACAACAGTGAAAAATTTCATCTTCCAAGTTGCTAGGAGAATAGATCTTAAAAGTATTCATCACAAGAAAAAGAACTGTAACTACGTGAGGTAATGGATGTTAATGAAACTTATTGTAATGATTTCAAACTATAGACACATATCAAATCATCATATTATACACCTTAAACTAATAAATGTTATATGTCAATTAGGTCTCAATTTAAAAAAATCATCCTTTTTTCTCTCGTCCAAGTTAGTAAGCTGCATTGCTGTTCAATCAGCATTGGCAGCTATTCCCCAGCCCCTGCCGATACAGCTTCTTTCTCAACCAGCAGTGATCACGGAGAAGTGTGGTAACTGTGTGATCAAAACCAGCTTCAGCTCCCCCATCTCCACTTCCACTTCTCTTTTTGTCATGCTGAGCTCCTAGACATTTTAAACATCTTTGGAGTTGGGAATTTAGCAACTGCGATTTCCCTTTGCAAAGGAAGGTTACTATTTTGTTATTTACAGTCCCTCTGCCCCACCACCTCTGTACCCATGTGACCATCCCCACCCTCATGCTTACCACTCCTTTTTATTTTTATTTTTCTGTACTTCAGTTTGGTTTATTCCACAATGGCACCTCTCAACTCAAAATAAAAATAGATTATGTTCATCATCTTCATTTTCACTAGCAACCTTACTTCTGAATGCTTTTCTGTAAAGATATTCAAAGAATTTGGAGCCCTATTGAGGTGAAAGGATATCAAAAGAAGAATACCAGTGACTATATTGTATATGCCAGTGAAGGGCAGGCATGAAAACTCTAGTTAATTGTTCATTTATTATTTTCTAGGAGAATTGACTTTAGAAGAATTTATCAATAGCACGGAAAAAGATCAGGATCTTCTGGAGATTGTTTCCAAGAGCTTCGACTTTTCCAGTGTACTGAGAGTAATCTGTCACGGGAGGCAGCTAGATGCAGGAGGACACTTCCTCCAAACTATGTGACAAGGCTGGTCTAGGGAAGGTGAAAATGAAGTGGCTTTGAGACTGTCTTCCCAGCTTTCAGTTGAGAAGAAATGAAATTTCCCCCATGTACACACTACTGATTTCAGGTTTTTGTTATTATTGGTATCAGCCTATGAATATATCACTCATCTAATGTTCCAAGAGACTCCCATAAAGACACTAGACAGAAATATTGTTGCTTTTCTGTTTGTACATTAGTGCCCTCTGTACAGATTAGAACATAATGCTTAAACTGAAGAATTGTCTCTATACCTGTCAGTTCAAAATAGTGCTCACATGTATGTTTCCTTGCACTCCTAAATTAATCTGCATCTTGAAAGAGAATTAGAGTATCTGGGCAGTGTCCACACAGTTTAGTATTCTTCTTAGATTAAACATGCATTTGGCAAATGCGTTTACTGTCTCTTGGCTTTTGTTGTATCTGTATGTTAGAAATGAGAAACTTTTTTTTCTGCCCTTCTTTCTCATTCTTTACCCCAAATGCTGTCTTGAATCAGTATTAATGTTCTGCTCCACAGGCAAAATCTTAAGCTACGTAGTAAAAAGAGAAAATTCTGGTCTGGGCAATGAGAAAGTTTCTCTCTGATTTGTTATAAATCTGGATCCAGTTGTGCATGAAAATGCAATGCATCATCTGTAATTATTATGCCAGTTGGAGGTTTGATCAGAACAGCAGACAGCCAGGCTATGCAACAACAAGCACTTGACATTTTAAACGGTCCTGACATTATAGCTCTGACATTTCATTTTTTATATCCTTTCCAAAAAATGAAATGATGAATGGGATTTCTTGATGGGTTAGAACATTTTAAGTTTGGGGTTCTATATCACAGGTCTATTAGTACACCTTTCTTTTTTTTAAATTTTTTTGAAAGATTTTTATTAAAAATAAAAATGATCACCATGATAAGTCCAGAAATCATCTGACACCGTACTATGCTATCACAATATTGTTGACTACATTCCCTATGCTGTATACTACATCCCCATGACTTACTTGTTTTATACCTGGAAATTTGGATCTCTTATTCCCCTTCATATTTTTCTCCCTCCTTTTAAATTTTCAATTACAGTTGACATACAATATGATTTTATATTAGCTTAGGGTGTACAGCATAGTGGTTAGACAGTCATATAATTTAAGAAGTGATCCTCTAGTCTAGTACTCAACTGGCACTATACACTGTTATTACCATATTATTGACTATATTCCCTATGCTTTACTTTATATCCCTATTGACTATTTTGTAACTACCAATTTGTACTTCTTAATCCCTTCACCTTTTTTTACCCACACCCCAACACCCCTCCTATCTGGCAACAATAAAAATGTTCTCTGTATTGATGAGTTTGTTTCTGTTTGTTAATTTTGTTCTTTAGATTCCACATATACATGAAATCACATGCATCTATCTTTCTCTGTCTGACACTCCACTCAGCACAATACCCTCCAGATCCAGCCATGTCATCGCACATGGCAACAGCCCATTCACTTACACGGTCAAACAATATTTCATTGTATGTATGTACCACTTCCTCTTTATCCATCCTTCCATCAGCAGACACCCAAGCTGCCTCCACATCTTAGCGATTGTAAACAATTCTGCAATGAACATGTGTATGCCCATGTCCCCTCAATGTAGTGTTTGTGGTTTCTTTGAATAAATACCCAGAAGTAAATTACTGGGTTCTTTATTGTCTCTTGCTATAGCCTTTGTTTTAATGCCTATTTTGTCTGGTATAAGTATTGCTACTCCAGATTTTTTTTTGTTTTTCTCATTTCCAATTTCATGTGTGTCTTTCAATCTGAAGTGAGTGTTTTGTAAGGGTTTTGTTTTCTTATCCATTCAGCTCTTCTATGCCTTTTGATTGGATAATTTAATCGATTTACATTGAAAGTAGTTGTTGATATGTAGTTACTGCCATTTTATTATTCATAGTTTTTATCTTATTTTTGCTTTTTTCATCTTAAAGAAGTACCTCTAAGATTTCTTGTAATACTTGTTTTGTGGTGATAAATGTCTTTTGCTTTTTCTTGTCTGGGAAGCTCTTTCTCTGTCCTTTCATTCTAAACGATAGCTTTGCTGGGTAGAGTAATCTTGGTTGTAGGTCCTTGCTTTTCATCACATTGAATATTTCATGCCAATTCCTTCTGGCCTGAAAAGTTTCTTTTGAGAAATCAGCTGATAATTTTATGGGAGCTTCCTTATAATTTACTAGTTGCCTTTCTCTTGCTGCTGCTTTTAGTATTCTTTCTTTGTCTTTAACATTTGCCATTTCAATTATTCATCCCAGCAGGCTCTGGTGCCTGTTGAGACTGCCCTTTGGGTTTGCCACTTGTAGCACTTTGCTGTGGTTGGTGGGTGATGCTCTGCTGTGGTCTGAAGCCAACTTTTAAGTATGTTGGTTATGGGGCCCCTTGGGTGAAGCTCTGGTGTGGGCCCAGGTCACCCTCTGCCTGTAGCCAGCTGGAAACTACCTGATAGAAACTACAAAGTGATCCACAATTGTTTGCTCCCTGTGCTAAATCTGGAGGCACATGAAAAAGGCCATGCCACAAACCGAGGACATCTGCCTCCAGTACTAGGCCTGGGGTAGCTCTGCAAAAAGCCAGGACACCCCAAGGCCTGTTGCCACCTGCTGGCTTCCTTAAAATTCAGCCACTGATAAAGCCTTGTGTGTTATGCAAGTTGGGTGAGGCAGGGTCTCAGGGAGTCATTAGAGTGAGAAGAGTTATGGTCACCAGGTTATTGTAGATTCTGGTTTGGTGCCAGTGCTGAGTCTGGAGTGACAGCAAAAGTCTCAGAGGCTAGTCGCCACCTGCCTGGGGCCTACAGGCCTTGATAGTTTTCCAAGAAAGAGTGCTTGTAAGAAGGTACCTCCAGAATTCGGAAAGTTGGGTAAGTCAGGATCCCAGCAGAGTTCACCACACCAGTGAGATTCAAATTTGGCCTGTTGGGGAGGGCTCAACACAGGGAAGATGGCTCCCACCTGCTGGCTGCATGGGGAGGAGAACCACACACAGGGAAAATGGTGACTGTCTTCCAGCCTTTGCCTCAAAGTCACACACCTCAGTCTGCTCCCCATTTGCCTCAGACATCCCCCCACCCCTTCCTGAATCACCATCCCTCTATCAGAGCCCAGAGTACCTGAGAGTGGGTAAGTCTGTGTGCGGTCCCTTTAAGAGGATGTGTGGGTTTTCTGCAGCCTTCTGTTTCACCCAGATGGTTGGAATCCCCACTGTTTTTCACAGCCAGATGTTGTGGGGGCTTGTCTTTCCAGCACCAGTACTCCAGGCTGGGGAGCCTGTTGTGAAACTGGGATCCCTTGCTCCTCCAGGGGGAACCTCCATGGTAGAGATATTACCTGTGATTCTTAACCACCACACAGAGGTTTGGGGCCAGCCTTTTAGCATCTCTGTTCCTGTTACTAGTCTTGAGGTGACCTTTTCTTTATATTCTTAGCTATACAACTTGTGTTCAGCTAGACTTTAGATAGTTCTTCAGGTTGATTGTTCTATAATTTAGTTGTAATTTTATTGTGTTTGTGAAAGGAAGAAGGCACAGTGTTTATCTACTGTGCCATCTTGGATCTCTTCCTATTACTACATTTTTCAATACAAGGCTTTCTCATGGAAATTTAGTGGAGGTTGAAGTCCAGATGTGAGCAAATTCTGGTCAGCTCATTAGGAAAATGGGTTGTTGGGAACAAAAAATATAAATATACTAGTTGTTTGTCATTAGAACATAGACCATAAAATAATATCTACTTCATAGTTTTGCTGAGGGTATTGCTAAGAAGGAGATGAGCATGAAATTTAGGTACAAAAGAATTTAGATTAATGCATGGTTTGGTGAGCTAGGAAAAAAAAGAGGCCGGAAAAGCAGAACCATATTCTTTCCCTCAAGTATCCAGCTCTTAACATCATATCTCCCTGAAGTCATATATCTTCTCATGCTTTCCTCTGCATCTTAGTATCCTGGGCCCAGTCAAAGGAAACAGTCCTAGACTACATATGAAGTCATGTTACTTTAATGAACTGGATATTTATTTAATTAAATGTATTCCTCCTTCAGGTGATAAGCTTTAAGAAGGGCCTACTGTCCAGTGACTTTTTTTTTAATTTTGCAGTTTAAAAAAAATTAATCAGAATTCCATGTGTTTTCCCCATAATGGTTTTATTTATTTTTATTTTTAAAAAAGATTTTATTGGGGACTTGGGGGAGGGGAACAGTGTTGGGCAATTGGGGAAGGGGAACAGACAAGTTGCTGTCCTTTTGTTCTTCAGTCTAGTTGTGGAGGATGTCGCTTCACTGGCCCTTGTTGGTATTATCATTGCGCTCTTCTTGGGTGATGCAGATAGGTCGCCGGGCCCTGGACAACCACTCATGGCGGCTGCCAGCAACTCACGGTAGCTTACAGCAGCCCACTGCACCTCCACTGCAGCCTACGCCATCGCCGGGGTCTCACAGCAACCCAGCTCCAGGTTGAGCTGTTGTTCACCATCTTAGCTGTAGAGGGCGTAGCGTCACTGGCCCTAATGTGGGATCTGAACCAGGGCCCTTCTGTTCAGACCTGGCATCCCAAGCCAACTCTTAACCAATGCGCCACTCAGCCACCCCCCATAATGGTTTTACAGTAAAATTTCAAGAAAGGGGTTTCATGACAAGTAAAGTCTAGTATGTGAAGAACCTCAAAAACGTTCATTAATTTCTGAGACTGTCCCTCTAGTTTTCCACAGGGTAGTGGCCCAACCAGAATTATAACCATCTAACATGAATCTAGATGCTCCAACATATTTTCTGTTTTCCCCTAAAATTCCTTGATACTTTGATGAAGGTACTATTTTAAAAAGAGAGAAGGATGAAAGGGAAGATGTTAAAGGGTCTAATAAATTTTACCTTATAAAAAACACTTTTAAAAAGCTTACTAAGATCTGTATATAGAGATTTGAATATATAGTAGTAAGATGGCCTGATTCTTTGGTCCAAAATATCGATAAAGAAAAGATGAAAAATGGGTAGATAGATTAGTGGCAGCTGGTCCAGGATGAGAATAAGTGCTAACACGATTTCTCTTCTTTCTTTTCAAGTCAGTGGCAAGTGACCAGCTGCCCTTTCAATTTAGCCTTAGTTCTTTCTGTTATAAAGAACATTCCACCTCATGAAGTGTCTACTGACACAACACTGCTGTTTAAAGCAGCAGAGTAGGCCATGAGTGCAGAAGATAGTTTAGGTGGGGCAATATTTCCTTCATGTCTTTTGCCAAAATGTGTTGGTATAAATGTAATGGGGAACTAAATGAAAGAAATATGTTTTGTTTAAAATTAATTATATGGCTGAGAGTCAAAAGAAGAGGCCTAAAGAAAAGGTTTGTGAATTAAAGAAAGAATATGAGTGCCAGAGAGAGGCTGCTTGCTCTGTTCTCACTAACTTGCCCCTATTTATATTAGAATAACCTTTAAAAATGAAAATGAAATACAGAAAAGTCCTGACATTTAAAACCAAGCTAGGGTCTTATGCTTGCTGAAGAAGTCTAAATCATTAAAACTGTGTGGACAGGGAATCACTTTTTCAATACTCAGACTTTGTTTCTGGGAACAGCTGTAGGTATGCAGAATTGAACATTCAAATTAAACCCAGGGAATAACAAATTTTATCAGTAGGATGACTGACAACATTGAGATACATATTTAGGGATGCAGAATTGCTCAGTGGAGAGAGCACTGACCTAAGACCCAGATCTGGATTCTTGTGACCTTTGAGAAGCCACTTTACCCCTCTAAGTCTTGGTTCCTTCAGTTGTTAAGGGAGGGGACA